CCCCCCCCCATCCCCTCAACCACTCTCCAAAAGTCACCACCATTAACAAGTCCCCACAAAAAATAGACTACAGCGCCAGCCTCCCCCACAACCAACACGCGGGGCAAATCATCCTAAACCAGCCGGCCCCACCCCCAGCATTCTTCCACTTCCCCATCGGCTACGCCGGCCGCGCCAGTACCATCTCCGTCTCCGGTACCCCCGTCACCAGACCATCAGGGCACTTCTACGACCGAACCGACCCCTCATTCCCCCAGACAAAGAAAGTGATCTTCGGGCCATGTCGCGCACTAGACTACGAGCTCGAACTGGGGATCATTATCGGAAAACCCCTCCCTCGCGGACAGGGCCTCAAGGCGCAGGATGCGGAGGAACATATCTTTGGGTTGGTGGTGTTGAATGATTGGAGTGGTGAGTATACCTACCCCACCCCGCTTAGTTTAATCCACTACACAAAGGCAATACTAACAAGCCGGTTGGAATAAGCACGCGACATCCAAGGCCTCGAAATGATCCCCCTTGGCCCACTAAACGGGAAGAACTTCGCGACTACAATCTCCCCTTGGATCGTCACTCTGGATGCACTGCAGCCGTTTAAGACGCCCGGTCCGGAGCCGAGAGTTTCCCTCCCGGTGCATTTGCAGGATCCGGGGGAGTTTAACTATGATATTAGTGTTGTGACGGAGCTGGAAGGCGGTAGTGGTGGTGCTAGTACTGTGCTAGGACGGGGTAATGCGAGGGACCTCTTCTGGAGTATCAGACAGATGTGTGCGCATTTGGCGAGTACGGGGTGTGATTTGCGCACGGGGGATATTTTGGGGACGGGGACGGTGAGTGGGGAGGAGGAGGGGTCGTATGGGTGTCTTTTGGAGGTGACGGAGGGGGGGAAGAAGAGGGTGAAGTTGGAAGGAGGTGATGGGGAGGAGAGGGGATATCTGGTTGATGGGGATGTAGTGAAGTTGACGGCATGGGCTGGAGAGGGGGTGGGGTTTGGGGAGTGTGTGGGGCAGATATTGCCTGCGAGAGATTGAGTATTTCTTTTCATTGCACTATATGTGATATTACTCATGTAGACTGTTGAAAGGTTGAATGGAAGTAAAGATTGTGGATGATGAGTAAATATGAATATATGATACTAGGAACTAGATAAAAGTCAATACATGTCCCCTTTTCGTTTGCGCCGGCCGTGCCATCCCAGCCAACCAATCCCCTATACCGATGCATATATCAGACGCCTAGATAATTAAACAAATGTACAGCCTATATTGGCATCCCTCAGCTCCAGAGCGGCGGGTGGATGTACTCCTGCGCTCTGTCAAGAATGTTAGGTATCGTCCACTCGCCGCTGGTAGAGCTCTCCGGCGTGGGCGGCGGCAAGGATCCGAGACTCGGCGTCATGCTAGCCGACACAGGCGGAACGCCCATGCCTGGGTTGAGATAATTCGGTGATCCTGCTTGACTGGCACGAGCCGCCTGTGCATTGAATGCGCCTTCCAATTTCTCTAGCGCACGAAGGGTCTTTGTCAAGGGCTTGGCCCATTGAGTCTGCGTGTCGACAGCCACAGCGGCGGAGGCTGGAGATGCTGAGTTCAGACCCGCAGGGCTGGGCGCTGTGGTGCTTGGGGGTCTTGTGGCTGCACCGAGGCGGGCGCTGCTGTTGACTGGTGGGACCGCCGCGGCTTCTGTGGCGGCTCCGTAGTCGCCCTCGATATTAGCTCGTTCGGCGATGATCATCTTGAGTTGTTGTAGGAGGGTCCAGAACCTGGAGTGGCCCTTGACTTCCTCTGTGACTGCCAGTAGGAAAATCGAGCTGATGGCGCGTTGTAGGGCAATCCATGACCGTGAGGCGTGGGAACTGACGGTGTGCATCTCAACATATGCTTCCACGGTAGTCATCAGGTTGCTTACGCAGTCGGTGCGCATGCTGGATAAGGCGGGGTCACTGATGTCGGCGTTTGCTTTGAGCGCTGGCCGGCAGAGCTCAGAAGAGAAGTAAGATGAGTGCAGCTTGAGAACGACCCGTTCGAGGTGTTCGGTTGCTGAAAGGCAGTATTTGCGGTCTCGAAGATGTGGCCTGGCCTCTATCATGATTTGTTGAATCCGTTCTTTGTAGGTTTGGATCGTTTTGTAGCTTAGTTGTGAGTGCGGGCTCAGCATCCGGCTCCGGACCACCTCCAGCGCTAGTGATATGATCCGACACAGTGTCTCAAAATATGAGAGCTCGCCGGGCTTCCGGTCATCCTTGTAGGCAATTTCTGGCTGGCTGACGGCTGTCGTCGACGGCCGATCGTAAGATAGGGAGAAGTGGCTATCTTGCCATGCCATGGACCACCTAGACTTCATTAGAAATCGCCAGTCGTGATGCAGACTAGAAACTTACCACACGTGGCGTCTACGATATCGCTCAGCTGCAGTGAAATGACCTGACTCCACATGCAAGCCGAGCGCCAGCCCCATTCGAAGGGTCATACCAAGGAGAACATACGATATCCCGGGGTTCATGTTGTACGATAGCACGTTCCCAATCACTAGCAGCGTCTGCATGGCGTCTATTGTGGGCTGGGATAGGAAGTTGGTCATTCGAAGACACTGGTAGGAGCAGCATACTGCAATAGATCAGCACCTGCATTCTAGCACAAAGCAGACAGAACTTACCGTATACTTGAGATGTAAGCTCTCTTTCCTTCCCTGGTAAATCCGACGATTGGCAGCCGGAAGCAAGAACGGCAAACAGCAATCCCATATAGGCGATAGTGACACCAAAAGGTTTCTGGGCTTGATCGGCATCCGCCCGGTACATACCACCCATGGCAGCTCTATTCCGCAGCATAAGATCGAGGTTCATCTCGAATTGTGGGACATCTTCCAGCACCGGGTAGATGGCGCCTGCTATATCCCGGTAGTAGTAGAAAAACCTGTAGCAACCTTCGTTAACTCCACAACACTACCAAATCAGCTGTCGGTGCAGACTAACTCTTTGCACTGTTGGTCACTCGGCAGTGCGCTGCAGACGGCGCTTATATCAAAGGATGACATATCCGATGACCACAGGTCAACGAACGGATACGTCGCAGACTCGTTATCCAGACCCAGCTTCGGCAGAATCCCACCCTCAAGGAGCGCTTGAAGCTGATCCGATCCCGACTTATTGTTCAAGATGTAGGCCAAAACAGACCTGGATCCCAGGTGTACAGTGCCTTCACCAAACGTGTTCGGCGCATGGATGCCCTCTCGTTCCGGGGAGGCACCCTTGGATCTGTTACTCGCATCCCCGCTCCGCACGCTGCTCGTCTCCAGCGTCGAAGCCGGCCCTTCCTCGGCCTTTTCCAGACCCACCCGCAGGTTATTGATGGTTTGCTCCATCTCCTTCAATCTCGTGCGAACATTGTCCCATTCCTCGCGCGCAATCGACACACGGCCGCCGGTTGCTGTTATACCTGGCCGGCTCACACCCGGTTCTTGCTTTAGACGCACAGGAGGCTCGGGCGCGTACCCGAGATTCTCTGCACTCGTAGGCTGGCTACCAGGGATGGGGCCGTCGGGATAGGATTGCGGAAGCGAGCCGGTCATGACGCGCTTTTTCGAGGGACGCTCGTATGAACAAAGATCGGCATGATCGCGTTTGACACAACCGTCGCAAGGTAGGTTTCGATCGCACTTAACTTTGCGGGCGTGACACGGGTAACAGGCTTTAGGTTCGCGGGCCTTTCGCTTCGTTCGGATGATTGCGTCAACCTGAGATTGGGGCAGGTCGGAGACTGGTCTGGATGAGGCAGTCGAAGGACCTGAAGCCGTCATGTCGGGGCCCGCTACGGACGGCGAGTACGACACGGACGGCTGGTATGGGGACGTCATTGCAAGGCTATGTGAAATAAAACTGATAAAAGAGAGACTCGGTCTGAGATATGATCGGCGATTCGGCTAGATTAATGAGTGCGTGTTGCTGGTATACTGATGCTTTCCCACATGAACGTAGCGGAGTCGAGCGGGAGAAAAGAATGCGGCGGTGGCAGTCGTTGTAGGTTGCAGGGTTCACATCGATAGTGAGTACTATATAATTAGTCCATTGGCAGCAGGTTTCTAATGTCGGTTCAGATGAGCCAGGTTCGCATCATCTCGCAGCAAGAATATCACCGCGAGAGCTGGGCGCAAAGACGAAATGCTGAAGACGGACTTGGCCGAGCACCGACCCATACAGCATCCCATGACTAATCATGGTGTATAGTCACGTGCGTAAGAGGGGAAAGCTTGGCGGTGCCCTAAGCCCTATCTGGATTATCAGGGCCGGTGACGTAAGGCAGTGGCTGGTAATTATGGCTACCTAACCAACATGACAGCTTTCTAGAGTGAAAGTCCTACTTGTATCCTGCGCTATCTGCAGCTGCCTTGGCATATGTAGGCATGGGGTTATTAAACAGCCAAGCTATTCTAGTGACGGACGCTAATCTAACGGGATCAAGGATTGGAAGTAGATCCTTCTGTCACTCGCCCCATTGCATGCTGAATGATAGACAAACCAATCTCATAATCGCAGTTTGACGATGATTCCTTATCATTATTGTCCTCAAATCTTCTCCCAGGAGTACGTGTACGTCGCTGAGCTGTTATCCGGCACACCAGGCGTCGAACTCCAAAAATACGTTGCAGCCAGTGGATTACCGACAGCTTCAACAATAGGAGCCAACGTGAAGTTATGCCTTGGATCATGCTCCTCTAACAGACCATCCAGGACATCCTGCGGTGGAGCATAGTCCTGTGGTTGATCAAACAGGAATAAGGTAAAGTCGTGTACTCTGCTTGTTGCAGGCTGCGCAGGGTGATACGACGCCAGAGCATTGCTAGAATTGATGGAAATCCCGCCCTGCAGTGTGTAGTTCCATCCCACCAGTGCAGACGAGTTGTTGTATTGACCAAGCGACCAGGTACAAGGCTTGAGTATTGGTCCAACGTGGCGAAGGCCGAATCAGCAACGTCGTAATCCACCATCATGAGCATAGTATATGTTCCCGGGTAGGCGCTTGTAGAGTAGCCGGGATACACAGTCGGGTATGTAGTATCTATTTTGGACGAAATTAGCATACTAGATATCGATAGTGCTAAGACTTCGCTCTACTGGTATGGAAGAACGCTGGTCGTAACAGGAGCTACATACCGTTTGGATCTATCCAGGCTCCTGGAGTTATGATATTATCTCCAAATGAGACCCCTAGGTTGGTCTTGGTTTGTGGCCAAACACCAGCTGCTGTCTGGGCCATGGCAGCACCTACAGAAATACATAGCGAAATTAGTGTTGTTGTGTGCATCATAAGTGTCAAAGAGCATAGCGTAGTTGCAGGTTTATTCAAGCATGTCACTGTGTGCCTTTAGACTGGAACCTTGAGTAAGTAGGTTAGTAGCAAAATTGCAACTGCGGAGCAAAGTCCTTAAGCTGAGCTGAAGCCGCAATGTAACTTACTGGTCCCGAAGCGCCCACATAGTTGTTGTTGTAGTAGTAGCTTATGGGTCGCCGGATCAGGTAATCCGCCAATGGCTCCGCGGAGTGAGGGTGATAAGATTATTGGATGTAACATTCTCGGCCAATCTGACATACATGTTAATTTGGTAATACAGGTTTTAACTTATAGTATCCCGAGATTTACATTGATTTCGATTGCGAGTGGTAATTTGTATGTTAAAAATAGCCAAGAGCGACACCAGATCTCCACCGGCCCAGGAAAATAACATGGTTTTTATTTCAACTACTTGGCCGCACATTGACCACCAGTAGTAGTTAGGTGGAAAGAATCAGAGACAGAGAAGTCTATGATTGGGTTTTAATCTACAGAGATTATATAGTCTCTATTTGATCAAGATCAAGTACTTCACATGCAGGAAAGACTATGATGCGCTAACAGACATCATGCCTCAGTTTAGACTAGTCTTGCAAATTTCATCCTAGGTCTGCAACATGCCGCATAAAATTCTTCTAAATATTCATGAGTCATATATTAAGAGAGACGTGGTGTACATAAATGCTTGGTATCAACAACGCATCACTCTTTCAGGCATTTTGCAGGATCCAAGAGCAGAGATTAGTTGAGTATATATTGGGTATTAAGTTGCAGTCAAGGGGCCCACACGATCGATTGATCATTGTGCAGCTACTCTTCTGACTGCTTAACTTTTCTCTCCATTCTCTTCGTCGTCACTGAAGGCATAACGCGAAAACCGCCGAATGGACGCTCCTTTGAAGTAGAAGACGTATGGAATCGCGCAGCAAGCCAGCGCAATGAAAGCAAGCAACGAGCTTGCCCACTGGTACCCAAGGCGATCATACATCTGCTCAGTAAAGAGTACAGTAGATGCACCCCACATTGAGCGAAGGAATGTCTTAGCGGCAAGCGCAGATGCGGCCTGGTGCTGGTACGTATCCACTAAAAATAGGTCAGCAAGGGAGTCCTTATAGTCTTTTGATGGCGAGCATACCAAGATAATTATTGGCCGAATTATATAAGAAGATAAATCCGAATCCAACTGGCCAGCCTCCAATGGCAGGTCCGATCCAATGAATAGTGGGATATGAGGTCCAAGCAAAAATGAACAGTCCGATGGGTATAAGCCAACAAGAAAACATCATCGGGATCAATCGAGCTTCAGCAGGAGGCTTTCCTCCGTACTTAGCGTAAAGAGATAGGTAGTGCTTGTTGACAAAAGGCGCGCAAGCGGCACTCATCAGTACGCCAATGGCAAGTGGGATAAACATAAGACCGGTCGAGCCGGCACTCCATCCTTTCCCAGATTGGTATACCACAGGATAGCTGATATTGCAGTTAGTAAGGCGGTCATAATAGCAGATAGTACACTACTCACGCAACAAAGAACATGTACAGCAAACCGTATAGAACCGACATGTAAAGCGCGATGAACAGAACAATGGGTTCTAGGAACAGAAGCTGAAATGGGCGGAAGAGGAACACCCGCAATTTCTCGCCCATGGGTCGAGAATCTAGTTCCGTTTCCGTGACGTAGCTAGGATCGTCCTCTTGTTTTCTCAATTTTTTCGCCCTTCGCTTGAGAAGAGTTGGTGCATACGTCTCTGGAACAGTGAAGGTAATCAGCACCCAAGCAACAAATGCCAGGATTAACTGCAACCAGTAAAGCCACTTCCAGTTAGTAGCGTCGGCGAGATAACCGCCAGCCAGCGGTCCAATGGCAGGCCCAATGAATGGACTGGCTGAGAACGCTGCCATCGGAACACCTCGCTCTTCATTCTTCCAAAGATCGGCCAAAGTTCCACCCACTAGCGTCATGGGAGCACTGAACGCGATCCCATCAATAGCTCTGCAGACAATGAGGGTCCCGATATTTGGAGCTACGGCGCAGGGAATAATGAAAATGACAGCTAGTAAGAGCGTGCTTGCGTATATCATCCGCCGGCCCACCATTTCGGACAGGGGGGCAAAAGCCATGGGACCTGAACCTAGTCAGAGAAGTTTATCAAGCCAAATCACTGAGAGAGACTTACCGACACCAAAGCCAATAACGAACACAGTAACGACGACAAGGCTAACCTCTCGAGAAACGCCGAATTGTTCTGCAGGGCCTTCGATATCGGCCGTGATGACACTACTAGCGAAAGCGACGACAAAGCATGTGAATGAGACCACCATGGTACAATACCATTTGAAGGCTTTGGACCAATTTTTTGGGTTCTCGGGGTCGTCGACACTGAAGGTTACCAGCTTCCAGTCTTCCATTTTCCCTGTAGCAGCGGACCGGACTGGTTTGATGATTTCTCCTGTGGTGGTTTCCGTCGTGTATTCCTCCATGTTGGCGTTCTCGGTCACCTGACGATAGGGTAGATCCAAAGGATCGGTCTCAGTTGTGAGAGCTCGTGAGACATGATTATTTGAATAGTTGGAGTGGTATGTTTCATCCATATCTTGAGAGGTCGTCGTGCGAGGCAGACACCCGTGCAATGATTAATATTGTTCTGAGATGTACATGTAAACCCCAGTAGCCACGCGAGGGCTTTGCTTGTATATATAGACGGCCATGCCTGCTATGATCGCCGGTAATTTGAAGGTTCTAGTTCGGTCGTATACGAGGTAGAAGGAAGTCCAAGTATCCATGGGAGACATATTTCCTGAAAGGGCAGTACGTAGGGCAGTATGTCGGGCCGGTTAGCAGACATCTTACTCTATCAGGAAGTTAGCGAGCTAGCCTGATCAGGGAATATGCCACGAGAGTATAAGTACTATCACGGCTCCTACTTATTGGCTTCAGAAAAAGCTTTATAATGCTTTCTTCAATTTCATTAGATGCAAGCGCGTGTCCAATATCGGAGCACATTCTCAGGTGAGTTTAGAGAGATAAGGTGTGCATAGTTCAACACTCTCTCAGAAAATCTTGACTTGCAAGGTATGCCATCTCATTTCAGACAGACATTTATAGAAGTAATCGGATAGAAGGAATATTTCTCAGGTGAAGAGCCCATTGAACCATGGCTTTGCCGCCATGGAGCATTGCGTGGCTTTCATGCTAAATCCAAAGCGCTAAGGCCTGAGTCTGCCACCTCCATTGCATATGAAAAGAAGTCTCCGCTGCCAAGCTGCAAAGCCAAGGATTAAAGTGCATTGCTGTTACTTGAAGATTTCGTGGTTTCCGCCAGCAACCCGGAAAGGTGCCTCGGAGCATGTTTCCCAAATAGGAAAGTTTCCCTACATGGAGACAATCGGTTTGTAATGGAAAAGGAGAGCCAGGACATTCTTGTGGAGTCCATCAATCTAGACCAGAATGTGTTTAGTTTTCTTTATCAGATCGTAAGTTTTGATCTTTGCATCTAATTGGGCCAACAGAAAATGCTTTAATCATATAGTGTGAACAATATCGAGAATGGACCTTTCCACGACATCAGCGGGCACAATCAACCGCTCATCAACCACTCAACGCCACAAGGAGCTATCTCTGAGCTATGGCCCATCCTGGCTCCATTCAGTTGAACAACCCGATTGTTTTTATATGATCCATAACAAAGCTCGATGATGGAATGTCTGTGGTCAGCGTTTTCCGAAGACTTTGACGGCATTGGGTGAACGCGTATTTTGGTACTCTGGGTCTACTAGTCTCATCATAAACTGCTACATCAAACAGATTATAGTTGATATCAGTGAGCTATCCATTCCATGACACCCTCATAGCTACTTTGTGGCGAATGTTAAAAATGTCATCGACGATTACCTGCAGGCCTGAGGCAGAAGCGTACAGTTTTCCGGGGAAAAGCGACAGTGCACGTGAGCGATAAGGAGGCGATAAGCCGGAAGCGGATTAGCGCGGGGTGGTTTTTCCCACCCGCAACCGTGGAGGAGAATAATTTTGTGACTCGACGAGCAGCTCAACGCCCCGTCGCTGTGCTCCTCAGTCAGTCGAACTCACACGCGAGAGGTGTGTCTGTGACACCTTCATCCAGGGGACTACATTGTTCCCCTTATCCAAGTACAACACTACATTCCGTTCTACCCTCCCACCTGTTTCCTAAATTCCGCACCGACCGAATCCCCACAACTTCACAATGGCCTCCGACTCCACCTACTTGGCCATCTCTGGCTCTGTTGCCTTCTCCCGTTCTCGTGGTCGTGCAATTGCTGCCAGCATTGGTGCACAGGATGTCCGTGCCCAATGGGTTCATTACGTTTACCTCTCCCAGCCGCTGGACGCTCCCCAACAAGGTGTCTTGGAACAGCTCCTTCACTATGGCGATATCACCGACGTCCCGCCCTCGTTCAGCGCCGAGGATGGTCCTTCCGATGTCTTCCACATCTTCCCCCGCACTGGTACAATCTCCCCCTGGAGTTCTCAGGCTACCGGTATCTCCCATGTTTGTGGTCTGCGCAAATACGTCAACCGCATTGAGCGAGGTATGAAGATCTCCTGCCTGCGCGCAGGCTCTGGCGAGTACAAGTCGGGATACCAGGACATCTTGCACGATCGGATGACTCAGGTCATCAGCGAGGAAGAGCCTGACTTGCACCTGATGTTCTCTGAGCACAGCCGTCTGCCGCTCGAGACGATCCCCCTACACGGAAGTGGCAAATCTCCCAAGGAGGTCCTGCAGGAGGCAAACAAGCGGCTCGGATTAGCTCTTGAAGAGTCCGAAATCGAATACCTGGCTGAAGCCTATGGTCCCAATGGCCCTATTGCTCGCGATCCGACCGATGTCGAGCTGTTCATGTTCGCTCAGGTCAACTCCGAGCATTGCCGTCATAAGCAGTTCAACGCATCGTGGGTAATCGACGGAAAGCAGATGCCTAACAGTCTGTTTGCCATGATCCGCAACACCCACAAAAAGCATCCAGAGTACACTGTCAGTGCCTACAGCGAT